CTGCTGATAAAGACATATCCAAGACTGGGTAATGGCGAGGGAGGCCACACAATCGTGGCGGAAGATTAAGGAAGAGCAAAGGGATATCTTACATGGTGGCAGGCAAGAGAGAAAACATGTGCAGGGGAACTGCCCCTTATAAAACCATCAGATCTCCTGAGTCTTATTCACTATCAAGAGAACAACATGGGAAAGACCTTGCTCCCATGGTTCAATTACTTCCCACTGGGGTCCTCTCATGGAAGCTACGTGGAAATCATGGGAGCTACAATTCAAGATTTGGGTGGGGACACAGCTAAACCATATCAGAGGCTCAAGGACAGAATTCATTTCCTTCCATTTTCCAGCTTCTAGGGGCCACCCTTGTGCCTTGACTCATAGTCTTTTGTCCACCTTTAAAGCTGACAATGTTGGATCACTCTGACACGTCATATCTTTCACTCTGATCAAAGCCAGGAAGAATGTTTTTTTTAAAGAATTTACATGGTAAGTTGGGGCCTCTTGGATAATTCAGGGTAAACTCCCATCTCAAAGATTTACATCTTTAATCACAGTGGTGAAGTCCCTTTTGCCACGTGAGTTAACAGAGTCCTAGGACCAGGCTTAGGGTGTGAACATTTTGATGGATCCATTATTCTGCCTACCACAGACTGTAATATAACAAAGTTATAAGGAACCTTAGATTCTAATTTATGACCTCTCACTCATTTTCATTCTGGAGTTCCTTCCAAGGCACTCTTTTTATTTGTTTTTTGAGATGGAGTCTCGCTCTGTCACCCAGGCTGAAGTACAGTGATCTCGGCTCACTGCAACTTCTGAATCCCAGGTTTAAGCAATTCTCCTGCCTCAGCCTCCTGAGTAGCTGGGATTACAGGTGTCTGCCACCATGCCTGGCTAATTTTTGTATTTTTAATGGAGATGGAGTTTCGCCATGTTGATTGACCAGGCTGGTCTCGAACTCCTGACCTCAGATAATCCACCCCCCCTTGGCCTCCCAAAGTGCTAGAAGGCCACCAGTGCAGTGAGCCGCTGCCCCAGCCACAAGGCATTCCTAATAGATGTGCATCCAGCCTCAGATATGTGGTAGGTATCAGTACCTAAAATTCTGGATAATGCTCAGGACAGAAATCTCTTGCTGAAGGCTCCAAAACCAGAATACGTCGTAGGTAGGACTCTGATGCTGTCTCTTTCTTGTCCCAAATCCATGATCCTTGATTCCAGCATGCCTTAACTTTCCCCTAAATACGTGTCTGCAGGGAGTTTTGTTCCCAGCCTTGGGTCCTGGGGGACTCCATGTGTCCCAGGTGCCTTAATAGAAATATCGGGGTTGATTTGAGACCCTGGATTGGTCTCATTAGTTATCTCATCACCTAGAAAATGCCTCTGAGATATTTCCTTTGGGCTGGTTAGTTTCAAACACGAAGGAGCTCATTGAATAGGAAACAGCTGAATGTTTCCAGTTTGGCATGTTCCCCCTGACTAGCCCAGGAACTGGGAGCTATGAGGACTCTGTCCCCAGGATCCCCTCCCTGCTGGCTCTACCAGTCTTGCTTGCCTTGCTCCTTTGGTGTGAGGACCGTGATGCCTACTGCAAGCTGAGACAATCCTAGGTTGAGTGCTTGTGTATTTGCATAATGGTCAGGGCAGTGCAAGACTTCGCTTCGAGGAGAAATCTGTAATATAACTGGCCAAGCCTGGGAAAGCCTGCTGCAAACCTCTCTAATAAGGATCGAATCCCAGCGTGGCCGTCAAAACAGCTGGAAAAGCTGCAACCCCAGTCAAATGAAAAATTGGGCAAATATCTTGACACAGAAAAACTGCACATGTACCCTGGTAGAAATTATACTTTTATAGTTATTTTTACATCCAAACATTACTCTTTGAGTGCCGTCATATTTTATGAAAACTTTTATTAACATTTCAAAATGACCTTACCCTCATGGTGAGACTGTCAGTCCCAGGAGCCATAACCTATTTAAAACATTTTTATCTTTACAAACACAATAAAGTAAGCTGTCTTCAACAGATTTGTAGATCTCATTAGAGATACTTTTTAAGAAGGTAGTGTGTCTCTGGGGAAGATAATGACAGGTTGTAATCTTTGCATGCAAAGTTTTCAAACATGCACATTTTGCGCAAACGGATTATTTCATCTTTTTAGCCTTGTTGTCACCAGATCTGCTTTGTAATTGCTCTGATATTCAGTGGGGATGGTTAGGGCTCTGGCTGCCCTGAACAGGGCAAGACACCTTGGATGGGATGAACCTGGTGTTCCCCATATAGTAGTTCTCGACTCGGCTTGGCCATCGGAGGTGAGCTGAGGGCTTCAGTAGGACAGGAACACAGGAAATCTCATGCAGAGACCAGAGACAAATGACCCTTTCCTTTGACTAAAGCACGCTCGGTCTTCTAGGTTGTAAATGAGGCTTTTCCTTTGGGGAGTGACTAGCTTAGGTGGCAGTCGAGGTGGGTAATATTTCAGAACTGCTGCTCCAAAGGGCCAGTGTTCTAAAGACTTCCCTGCTTAAATGGTCTTTTTATGCAGCGAGATAATGCAGCTGGTGCATTGCTAAATCAGGCCTATTTTCTGAGGAATGGTTGCATTCAGGGCACTTCTAATTTGTCAGGAGAAATGCAGACCATCTCTCCAGGGGTCTGCTTAAGAGGACATCATTTCTGCACGAGCTCTGCCTTGGGTCAATGTGCCGCACGGCTGGCACACCAGCCCCTGTTGCTTCCACTCCCCCGGGGTTGCTCTGATTTATTAGGATTAAACAAGCCATGTCCTCCGCCCAACTCAATCCGCAGGGTGATCATCCCGTCTTCCTTCCCCTGCTCTCTCCCCCCTTTCTTCTAGAGCCAAAAGGCAGAAGAAGGGTCACTTTACAAATGTGCCCCCTGTCTTATGGGAAATGTTGCTGATGAAGTTTTACTCCGCTGGCCTGTGATGGCAACGTAGGGGCGCACAGGTGGTCCCAGAGGAGGCCAGGGTGCTGGGCAGGCAGGCTCTGGGAGTGGCGAGTGGCTGTCGTTCTTGTTTTCTGATTATGAGATGACAGTGAGACCACAGGGTTTTGGAATGCCAGAGATAAAGCCAAAGCCATTGGTAATTGACTGCTGTTACTTTCAGTCAGTGTCAGAACGGGGGATAAAGCCCAGGTGAGTCACACGGCTGAATGCCCCCAAGTGCTTATCTTACAACTATTTCAATTGCATTTCTGTTTGAGCCTTCCTTTTCTATGGATCTCACTTAATGAAGCTCAGCTCTGGCTTGGCCTCCATATTAAAGCTTTCTGTTGGGTGTGGCTTTATGGTAGTATTATTATTTACCTTATGAATCATATAAATATGATCTGGTTCCTATCTTGGGCCCATGATCTGCCACGTTACCTCATCATGGAGGGCCCTTGTTCCTGAGCCCCCCGGAGACCTCCTTCTGCAAAGTGCATGGACTCCACACCTGACTGCAGGGACAAGACCTGATTTTGTCCCTCAGCAATTTGTGACTGGAGCCAAGTTACTCATCTTCCCCGTGGGCTAATAATGGGCTCTACCTCCCAGGGCCATTGTGAAGACTGATCAAGTTAAACACACACAACACCAGGAATAGTGCTTGGTACATGGAAAGCCTGCAGGAAGCAGAAGCTTTGTTTCTGTTGTGAATTGCCTGGACTCCCTTCGGGGGAACTCTACTGACTGTTTTGTCTGGGTGACCGTGCCTTGCTCCCTGGCCTCTAGAAGGCCTCCTAGCCTGGCCATCAAAACCGCGGGAAAAGCTGCAACCCCAGTCAGCGTTTCCAGCTGGGACCCTAGGAGTTTTCTCACCACTTAGGCTATTTCACAGAAGCCCCTGTGCATGTGAGCCCGGCCACAGGAGCAGGTCCCATGAGGACTGTGGAGCTAGGACGCAGGACGTAGGACTTGTGAAGGCTTTGGCTCCCCTGAATTGAGAGCCACACCTGGCCGTGTCAAGCGTGCTTTCCTGAGAGGACCCGTCTGGCTGAGGAATGAGTTTGGAGTCATACTGCCCAGCAGCTGTGTGAGCTGTTGGCCTTGGCACTAGGGGCAATTAAGGGTCTGGCTGCCTCAGATTCAGTGCTTGGTGTGCAGAGCAATGCAGCATTCCTAGAGGAAAGGCTGTGGCTTGATGTGCTCTGAGGATCATTTCTGCCTCAGTCCCTCCATTTGAATGATGCTTTTTTATCTCTCTTTTTTTTTTTTCTTAGAGTCGGGGTATCTCTCTGTTGCCCAGGCTGGAGTGCAGTGGCATGATCATAGCTCACTGTAGCCTCCAACTCCTGGGCTCAAGCGATCCTCTTGCCTCAGCTTCCTAAGTAGCTGGGACTATAGGCATGTGCCACTGTGCCCGGCTAATTTTTAAACTTTTTTTTGTAGAGACGGGGTTCTGCCATGTTGCCCAGGCTGGTCTCTAACTCCTAGGCTTAAGCGATTCCCACCGCCTAGGCCTCCCAACGTGCTGGGATTATAGGCGTGAGTCACCGTGTCTGACCTCTTTACCTTTTCTTGAGTGTAAGTCCAACTCAAATGGCTTCACAGTTCATCCACCATGTGTTGTTGGCATATCTGACCTACACATGCATGTTGAGGGCCTGCTGTGTATACAAAGATATGGAAAGCCATGTACTCTCTTCCACTGTTTTTTTTTTAGATTGACGTCTGGCTAAGAACACAGATTTAGTCATGAAATATCATTTCCTCTGGCTTTATTCATTCTGAGTAAGTAATGAATTTGGCTGAAGCTTCAGTCTTGTTAAAAAAGATTGTTCTAGCGGCCAAAGGCATGAGGCGCAATCTCTAGGTTAAGCTCATTGGGCATAATATTAGAAAAAAAATTAGCTTTTTGTCTGACACCATTTACAATGGGAGAAGCTGGATTGAAAAGTTTTCAACTTGGCTGTGTAATCCAGCATCAGGAAAACTGCTGCCCTCTTCAACCCACGTACATTTTAATCTCCCACATACTGGATTCTGCTCCACAGATCAGCCCTAACGCTTACACAGGCACAGTGCGGTCAGGGATGGTGGTGTCGCAGGTTGAAGACAAGAAAGACAGATGCGTGCCTGCAACCAGCTGTGAGAGCGCAGAGGCAATGATGATGGAACAGAAGGCAAGAGGCTGTCATCATTCACATCACAAGGACCAGAGACACCTTTCCTGGGAAGAGAGCTGACAAACCTTCCCTGGTGAGGGGTGAACATCCTTGGGAAGCCACAGAGAGCATGGCACAGTTTTTCATTGATCACCACCGTCAAGATGCTGCCAGAATCGTGCTGTCTAGGAAACCATTTAAACTAGTGAGAAGAGGATACAGCATTTGACAACGGTTGTTTTGTTTCAAGACACACGCATTAAAAATACATCTGAAATCCGGGACACAAGGAATCCAAATAATGTTATTAAATTTCTTGTCGAAGAGGGTCTCCGGGGACAGCTGGCTCCGCTCTTTACAAAAAACACGCAGAACTCGACTTGCCTGAACAGTGTCTTTGTATCTCTTCTCTTCTCCCTCTCTCTTCCTGCTTTTTTCATTTTCCACTTTCCTGTTTCTCCCGAGGAGACAAACAAATCTCTAAAGGACTATTAAGTTGCAAATATATTGGAGCCAAAAATAGAAGATGGAGCCTTATAAACATTTTGCATATTTTGGTGTAATTTGTTGAAAATAGTGCAAAATATGCTCGCAGTTGGCATCTAGAATGCAAATATTAGGAATCCAGTCCCCTGATACATTATGGTTTTTCAGCAGTATAGTGTGGGCTCGTCCAATTGCTATTGTGTGACTTTGTAGTTTGTTGGAGTGTGAAAAATATCAGTGACTTGTTTGTACAGTATATTAGGGAGATACATGTCGCCAAGTGTTATTAGCTATTCTAGAGACCTCAAGGGACAAAAAAGCCCAGAGTGGAACTCAGGGAGAAACAGATGCATGTATTTTTAACGTGGTTGATGCCAGTTGCTTTTCTGAGCAGTTTCCTTAAAATAAAAACCAGGCCAGGGATCAAAGTGTGCAGGGGGTTTCCGTGTTCCAGAACACGGGGGTTAAGTGGAGAGACTTTCAATGGGGAGATCTGTAGTACCTGTTTGAGCTGATGGAACAGTCTCCCACCCAGGGCTTCAGTGAGCCTGAATGGTTTTACTGCTGACAGTAAATCTGTCTTTCCTTTCCCCTGACAGGTGAGAAGCCATCCTCTCTCGAATGGGGGCTCCCACTGTACATCTGGCACCCACTTCGCAGGTGAGCCTTTCCGCTCCTAAATGATGACTGGTAAGAAAAACAAGATGTCTTTCTTGGTTATAAATTTAACTCTTCTATGATTAGTCTGAGCAATTAGGACACCCCTGGGGTTCCGTCTAGGGCTGAGGCACAAGCTGGAAGTCTGATTAGCTCAGGTCTCTTGATGCTTGTTCCTGGTAGTAAATGCCTGGCACATATAGTATTGATTTTCATTTAGATATCTTAATGTTTCCAGACAATCCCGGCAGATGTGGGCTGAACTCAGATCTGCGGGAGCGCAGGTCTGCAATCTGCAAACATTTTTCTTGCCACTTTGTTTCATTTTTCCTAAACTTAACTGATTTGGAATCTGGAGATATAAATGAAAAATGCCGAGTCGGCCTATCAATCACGGCATGCACAAACATCGCCACTGCCCTTCCTAACATCCTATTACCACTGGGTAGTTGGCTAGTCAAACAGGAATAAAAATTACACTGCAAACATCATAAGTTAGGCTTGATTTGTTGAGCAAGTAGCCTGACAATTCGGTAAGAGTTATATACCTCAGCTTCGCTGAAAATCAGGCTTGTTATGGCTCTGGTACGTCTATAAAGATTGTTCATTTCATATAAAACAGCTACCTGCACTGAACGCCCTGAAAGGAAGAATGATGCCGGTTATAAATATAGAGGAAAATCTATTTGTCTGCCCCTTCATGCTGTTAGCAAGTCACACGGAGGGTGTTTCTCGGCAGCAGGGGGAGTTTTCTGCGGCCACCTTTCCCTCTGCCGGGCTGGCCTGGATTGAAGCGTATCATCGCTCTTTGTCATATGAGATAAAGCAGTGAAGTGTGACCAGTGCCACCGCCTTGCTCTCTGCCCACCAGGAGGACGTTAATGGTATTGAAAAACTAGACGGCATTGCATTTAAACCAAATGCGAGGGGAAGGCTGTCTGTTGGCCGGCTGGGCCGGATCACAGTTAACGTCAGAAAAGATAAATAGAAATTATTAGAATGGGTTTGGAAGGGATTTTTTATAGGGCAGGGTGGTATTCGTTTAAAGATACATTATTGGACTGTTATATCTGATTTCAAGCTGCTGGGTAATTAAAATGATTAACATCCCTTACTCATAGAGTTCAATTCATTAAAGTTTTAAGCACCCTTTGTGCTTGGAATGGGAGGATGGGGCATCCATGTTGACTCATGCCAGGAGTCACTCAATTCGGTCCTGTGTTTATTTTCCCTGGTTTTTCAAGCCATGATTTCCGTTTCTAAGCTGGAGGAGCACACTGGGTAGAAAACTTCAGCCTTCAACACTCACCCTGTAGGATCCCTCATTCAAGGAGGAAAAATGGAAGGGAAATAGAGAAACCCAGAAAATTCTGCTAACCCAGTGGCTGGGACCCAGAAAATTCTGCTAAGGATGTCACCGAGGTTTTTCCCAGGGTGTCCCCCCAGTTGCTGGTGCCTGGGGAACCTTTGCTCTTTGGGGCTCAGCAGGCATGATCAGAACGTGTGTCTAGCCATCAGGTGTGCAGGGTCCACAGAGGGCTTAGGCAGAGCACCTGCATCTTGCAAACCTGCTGGAGCGTGTTGTGGACACAATTCTCATATTGTTTCCATTAAAAGGCACTAAAAGTATATTGTTCCTGTGCTATCTATTTTGGTTTTGCATTTTGACATATCCAGCACCATGTTGGTGAGTAAATGGAATATTTTGAAGAGCACACTCATTTGATGGCAGAATTAAAATGCTGTGCTCTTTAGGGTTCGTGGTCTTTTACCAACTCACTCTCCAATGTTCAGGGACAGAGAAAGACATAACCTTGTTTTCTTGTTTTCTAGTCTCCTGCATAAACTCTAGTCACCAATGGCAGTGATCTGTAAGGCTACTTGGGAGGCAAACTTATTCTTAAAGGCAAATATATGGCTTGGAATTTCTCACATTTGGCAGATTCTGAGGGAAGTGGACGCCAGCTCTACCTAGCTGTGTGACCTTGAGCAAGACGGTTAACCTCTCTGAGCCTCAGTATCCTTCTCTGTAGGCTGGAGATGGATATATTTTCATTATCAGGATAAGAGAGTGCTATAAGGAAGTGCCTGGTACAATGTTTGCCCCGCATGGGTGCTTCATGCATAATAGTTGTTATTGTTAGCATCCATTATGATGTAAATAACAGTGTTACTATTTTGCACATAGTTGAGCATTGTAGACACTGAGAACCAATGGGAGGTGTGCAAAATGGAGCCAGGCGTTCCTAGCCGAGGGCCCCAGGAATGTGGCCCACATGGTAAACTGGCATTTTCTCTTGTTGGTGAAGTTATCCAGTCATCTCTTTACCTAGATCATGCGTCTTACACTTCATTTAATTGATGTCCAAAAGCAAGGTTGTGAGGGGAGAGAGAGAGAGAGATAAAGAGAGAGAGAGAGAGATAAAGGAGAGAGAGAAGATGCTCATAAATATTGTTGCAAAAGTGGGTTTTGGGTCGGTGTTTAGGGAAACTGACCCAGTGATGAACGCCAGAGACTATGGGCGGGTCTTCCCCCGTGTGGGGCGTCCCAGGCACAGTCTCTGGAACTCTGCAATTGCTTTGCTTTCCCTGGAGTAGTGGGGAGACCTGAGGCTACTGCGGGACCACGCACAACACCACTCCCTGCCCTTTTTCCTCTATTGTCACCCTGGATAAAGAGGTGTCCCCCAGCTTGGTAGAAATACACACACTGCTGATGTTTTCATCCTTTTTTCAGGTGGAATGGCGGGACACACTGATTGGTCCTGGCCAGTCAAGGTAAATGCTTGTTTACCTGGCATAACAACACCCCCTCCATCTGCCAGGTGGCCTGGTTGGCACAGTAAATTATATGATCACCCCAAGTGGCAGGCATTTTACACATTGCCTCAGGGGACTTGGAAACCCTACTTACACTTACAAACTGGGAGGAGTGACATCAAAGAGTCTGTTTCAGGGTTATCTGTGCGAAGCCGAGGCCATGACCAGCACATGTTCAGAGGACAGTAACAGTGATGCATTTGCTCCTAGGTATGAAATCTATGCTCATCATAAGGAAAAAAAAGGAACGCTACAGAAAATGTCACTTAAAATGTGTACAAGTGTTTACTTCTAGGAGAAAAAAAGCTCATTTTTAACTCTTGAGGCCTAGTTTATTGGTAAATAAAAAAAAAAAAGCCAAGTCTCACATCTATTTTCTGAGTTGTTGCTCAAGTTGTTCCAGTCTGAAATTCTTCAGAATGGCTTTGGTGAGTGTCAGATCAAAGTCTACATTTGTTACATCAGAAGAGCTGTTCCTACACGGACTTGGCAGTTGTCTAAAAGAATATCAGAAATTAAGAAGAATGGAGCATAAGTAAACAATGATTCTCTTTCACGCTTTGTTTGGAGAGAGTTGCTTTTTTTTTTTTTTTTTTTTTTTTTTTGCCCTGGGAAAAAATGTAGCTGTCTCGTATCCATGTCATTCTAATCAAAATCACAGTCTCACATGTTGTGTTTCCAAAGTCAGGTTTCCAAGCTGGGATGCAGTTGGGTGGAGGCGGTGTGGGCAGATTGGCCACGGGAATGCTGCCTTTCCCCTGCTTGGATGCCCCACATCCCTGACCACGTATTTCCACTGCCGCAAGCTCACGTGATGTGGCCTCATCATGAAACAGAATTGCTGAGGACCTTATCCAGCCTTACAGGGGCCATGCACGAACACCAGATGGAGGACTTCTTTCCTCTGCCCCTTTTATTTTATTTTTATGTTTGGAGACAGTTTCTCACTCTGTCACCCAGGCTGAAGTGTCTGTACCCAGTGCCTGACATGGCGGTGGGTATGCAGCCTGGGCTCAGGGAAGTTGTGTTGAGCGACGGAGCAGTCATGATATGACCTTAGTTTTTTTGTTATTTTAGAGGGAAAGGGTAGCCTGAGTCATCTTAACATTCTTCTTGGTAATCCCATTGATTGTGGGATTCTGGTGAAGCCATGGACAGATTCTTTGCAACTTGTGTGCCTGGCCCTTCAGGTAGGGTGGTCATACACACTGAGGGGTCTGGACCAGCCAAGGTAAATCCTTGTTTTCTTGGGATAAACACACCCCTCTCCATCTGCAAAGTATTCCAGTTGACCCAACAAATTATATGATTACCCCAGGTGGCAGGCAATCACAGCTCACCGTAAGCCTCAACCTCCCTGGATCAAGCTATCCTCCTGCCTCAGCCTCCCTGGTAACCGAGACTACAAGGCATATACCACTAGGCTTGGCTAATTTTTAGGTTTTTTTTTGTTGTTGTTGTTGAGACAAGGATCTTGCTGTGTTGCCCAGGCTGGTCTTAAACTCCTGGGCTCGAGTGATCCTTCCTCCTCGGCCTCCCAAAGCAGTTTGATTAGAGTGATGAGTGGCTGCACCAGGCCCTCTTTCCTCTCTTAAGATGTTCACTCTGATGTGAACACGGTCACTTTTATTCCAGGGCCCTGAGCTGTGTGTCTGGGCAGTGTGCTAGCGTGTACACAGCTCTCAAGCTGTGCTTTGCTGCTTATTAGCTGAGCTCACTCAGGCGCATCCCTTTGCTTTCTGTTCCCATTCTCTCACCTTCCGACGGGCACAACTAGGCCTGGACTCTGTGCGAGGTTTGTTACTAAAAGGGTGGGGAATGGTTTCCCATGATGCCATATGGGTTTGGGAACCCTTGCTGAACGTAGTAGCTGGTGAATGAGTGCTTACCAAATGAATGAACGCATGGATTGAGGAGGAAATACAAGAATAACACAAGGCAGTGTCTGGTTGGTGGTGCTCCCTTGTGCTTGGTACAGATGCTGGAGCCTGGGTTGGCTCGCCCATTCGGAATGCAACACAGCTGATGCCAGCTGCAGGGCTTCACATGTGAAGGGTCAGGGATACGTGTTGCAAAGAATCTGTTCATGGCTCCACCGGAATCCCCCAACCCCCAATCCCACAGAATTCACAATCCCAGAAGATGACTCCGGCCACCCTTCTCCACCTCTAGAATAATAAGAC